GGGATTTTCCAACATCCCTGATCTACTCAGGAGCAGAGTTGTGAAATGGTCCCAACTGGTCCAAAACGCTGCATACGCGGGAGGGCGCCTCTAGGTTTTGTCGGGAGATATTGATGCACTGCCGGCTGTTCGTGAAACATATTAGATTATTAGATGTATTCATGTATTTTTCTGGTTGCTGGTTGACCTACCCCCCTGAAAAATATGAAAGTCAGTTGGAGTTACTATTCCCAATATATGGAAAAATCAAAAATGATTCCAAACCACCAAGCAGTTTTGTTTTGTATGTTGTTTTGAAAACTGAAAAAATAAAACATGTGTGGGTTTGTTGTTTTCCCGCGAGATTTGGTTGCTCGTTCTTTGTGAATTCAACAATTCCAAATATATTTGTCTGAATAAGGTATCTGAAAAAATATGTCATCATGCGTCTCAAGAAAAAAACAACCACACATTTGAAGGTACTATAACCATATTCTGGTGTCTATGTATGTGTCAACAATACCAACGGACCCCAAATTGGTAATGTTCGCTACTAGCATGTTAAAGCCGTGGTTGGGGTGGTCAATAAATCCAACTAATCAATATCCATACCGTATGTCCATACCTTAGGTATTGTTGACACATACATAGACACAAACATATATACACACAGATATCAAGTTTGTTGCGTGCCATGGGTCTACTTCCAAACGGCTAAGAACAAAATTGGAACAATGGATTTGGGTCCTACTTCCAATTTTCTATACTATTTGACACACTTTACTAAACCACATGAAATATATATATATTACTCTATATATATATATTTATGATTATATAGTATCAATAGTATCAAATAGGAATGTAGCAGGAACAAAATAAACAAAATGAAACACAAATACATCTTTAAGAAACCAACACAACATAAATATCATAAATTCATAAATCATCCAAAAAACAGCTAAATTACATGGGAAAATGTGGCATGTATTTTGTGCCAAAGCCATCTCAACCGCCGGTCCTGAATCCCCAGCTGTGGTTTCCGACTGCGTGGCCCACCTCAGCCTCTGGCGTCACTGCCCTGGCGAGTGATTTTTTGGTCATTAAAAGTTGCAGCTACTAGCACCCATAGTAGTAATAGTAGAGAAAGAAGTAGTTGGAGCAGTGATTTTGGTGTGCCATTTCTACCATCAATAGAGAAGTAGTAGGAGGAGTAGAGTAGTAGTAGGAGGAGTAGTAGCAATAGTTTTTTACCAAAAGTCCACAAGATATTTCTACCGTTGCATTTTTAATCCATTTCTGTCCAATTCCTTAAACAAACTGATTACCCTTAATTTGCTTAATCATGGTAGTGAACAAAACAAAACAATGTAATTTGAGGCCCAGGCGCCGCTGTTCTCCCTGATGCAGACTCAATCCCAAAAAATCCAACAAGTTTGTTCTGGTTGATGAGATGATACAACGGCTGCTGTTCAACAATAGCATCCCCTAATACAAAGGTTCCCCGTAAATGAGACCTCCACCACATTCCAAAATGTTTCTTTGCAACATGCCTGTCAGTATCTATCAAAATGGGCCATCAGGAATGAAATAAAGACATTAAAAAACATATTAAAGATACCTGAAACCACCAACCTGGTATTCATTCTTATACAAAATCTTGGGATCCCCTGATGTTCATGGCACTGACAATAGATTCCTTGGTCGCTGACCCCGCCAATACTTGGCGCTTGCGCTGTCCCAGAATCATTTCTTCCAGTGCCCGCTAGTTGTCATCCGTCTTCATGGGCATGGGCACGCTGAACCAACATGCTTATAGCTACCACCACTCTTATAACCTAAAGCTCTCATACCCTCTGGTAAACCAACATAGCCATGGAACATCAGAATATTAAATAGGTAAATCATCTATAAATGGGTCATTTTCTATAATTCTGGCCAAATTACTTTAATTCTTACCTCGTCTCCCTCGTGTCTTAATTTGTTCCCCATGATTGCTGTCCTCGTTCGTTAATTTGCAGGTGCAAATTAAGGCTTTACCTCGTTAATTCGAAGGAAGAAAGTAGCTTGTGGGCCTTCTTTCCAGGGTCCAACCCCAAGGAAAAAAACTTGTCAGCTTCCGAAAAGTTTTTTTCCACGATCCACGGTCTCTTGCAGGGATTTTTAAATCTGAGTCTGATCGGTCTTTGCGCTTCTTGCGCTTGGGTGGTGACATCTCTGACATTATCGCAGAGATGCAATGCTCTTCTGGAGGAACTCTGAATCCTACTGCTTCTGCAGCCGTCAACCCACGAAGCGGGCCTCTGGCGATAGAAAATAAAACTTTTTGGGGCCTGAAAAGTTTTTTTTCCGTCCTTGCCTGCTGACCGGCCTCTGGCGATAGAAAATAAAACTTTTTGGGGCCTGAAAAGTTTTTTTTCCGTCCTTGCCTGCTGACCGGCCTCTGGCGATAGAAAATAAAACTTTTTGGGGCCTGAAAATGTTTTTTTCCTTCCTTGCCTGCTGACCGGCCTCTGGCGATAGAAAATAAAACTTGTTGGGGCCTGATTGTTTTTTTCCTTCCTTGCCTGCTGACCGGCCTCTGGCGATAGAAAATAAAACTTTTTGGGGCCTCAAAAGTTTTGTTTCCTTCCTTGCCTGCTGACCGGCCTCTGGCGATAGAAAATAAAACTTTTTGGGGCCTGAAAAGTTTTTTTTCCGTCCTTGCCTGCTGACCGGCCTCTGGCGATAGAAAATAACACTTTTTGGGGCCTGAAAAGTTTTTTTTCCGTCCTTGCCTGCTGACCGGCCTCTGGCGATAGAAAATAAAACTTTTTGGGGCCTGAAAAGTTTTTTTTCCGTCCTTGCCTGCTGACCGGCCTCTGGCGATAGAAAATAAAACTTTTTGGGGCCTGAAAAGCTTTTTTTCCTTCCTTGCCTGCTGATCGGCCTCTGGCGATAGAAAATTTTTTTTTGGGCCTGAAAAGTTTTTTTTCCTTCCTTGCCTGCTGAGCGGCCTCTGGCCCCCAAAAAAGTTTTTCTAGCCAAGCCCAAGCATGCAACAGAACCAATGCAAGGCTACCTCGTCGAGGTCGGCTAATTCTGATGAGCAAATTAAGGGCTGACCTCGCTAATTCCGGCAACCTGCCTCGTTGCCTTGGCTGTCCTCGCTATAATTTGTGCAGATAATTAGCTATGTTAGTTCCCTATTTTATCAGAGGGTAAACCACATGTCAGGGTGACCTGAGGGAACCATTCAACTGAAACTACCCTGGTAACCTGGCAGTGGAGATTCTAAAAATAATGATCCCCGATGAGTGAATATTTCTTTACTTATGTTAGACTTATGTTACTTATGTTTATCCCTGTAAAATCTGTTTTCAGTGGAGATTGCGGTTTCCAGAGCTCACCATGTTTCCAAGCGAGTGATCAAGAAATCTTATCGCAGCACAGGATGGGGCCCCTCAACGGCCCCAGTTGATCAGCTAAGTTGGTGTATAACTATAACCACCATATAACCATATAACCACCATATAACCATATAACTATAACCCCAAATCATCAATTTTAGTAGGATTTTCCCTTATAAACCGTCCACTTTGGGTACCCACCTAGAAAAGAACCTCCATCCCATATGCGAACCATGGTGCTGGAATTTGAATCCCAACATTTGCCCGAACAAAATCACCCAAATGTAGGTAAATATACCAGCACCATGGAGCATATGGGATATAGCGTATGATACACAAATAAGATCCTATAACTATATTTGAATGGGGTTATAAACAAACTTATAACTGGAGGGCCCCATCCTGTACCTCATATGGGGTTTTCCTAAAAAAGGGGGTACCCCCAAAATGGATGAGTGGGAGCTGACACCTCCATCGTTGACGATTAGTTTTTGCAATGTTTGATGTTTCAGACCCCTCTTTTTGTAGACGAAATCATGTAATATACCCTCTGGTAATTTAACGTAGCTATTGAAAATGGCCATTTATAGTGAGTTTTCCCATGAAAAATGGTGATTTTCCATAGCTATGTTAGTTTACCAGAGGGTAATCATTTTTATGTTATATATATACTTGGTATGTATATATATATAATGTACATACTTATATATGTTATTTGTACTTTATTCCCCACCTGCCAGGTGAGGGTTGTTAGATTTTATCACAATTGTTCTTCTACTCCTCTTCCTCCTCTTCCTCCTCTTCCTCCTCCTCCTCCTCCTTCTCCTCCTTCTTCTCCTCCTCGTCCTCCTCCTTCTCCTCCACCACCTCCGCCAACTCTTCGCCAATCTCTTCGCCAACTTCTGTGGCAGTAGGCACTGCTGGACCTCAACTGCCGGCTGCCGATCTGAGTGGGCACGGCTGGACCTCAACCGCAAGGTTCCGAGCGCAGTGGGCACCGCTGGACCTCAACGGCCAGACAGAATGCCAGAAGATATGCCAGATAGAACGCCAGATAGAATGTCAGATAGAATGCCGGAAGATATGCCAGCTAAAATGCCAGAAGATATGCCAAATAGAATGCCAAAAGTGATGCCAGATAGAATGCCAGAAGGCATACCAGATAGAATGTCAGATAGAATGCCAGAAGGTATGCCAGATAAAGTGCCAGAATGTTTGCCAGATAGACCGCCAGAAGATTTGCCAGATAGAATGCCAGATAGAATGTCAGAAGATATGCCAGAAGATATGCCAGATAGAATGCCCGATAGAATGCCAGAAGATATGCTAGAACATATGCCAGAAGGTATGCCAGATAAAGTGCCAGAATGTTTGCCAGATAGACCGCCAGAAGATTTGCCAGATAGAATGCCAGATAGAATGCCAGAAGATTTGCCAGTAACAAAACGTATAAATGTCATGGTGGGGATGACTCGAAGTAAAGTAATTTGTACTATATCATATACAGTATGCCAAGCCAAAAAATACATTTTTAGAAATGTATACTAAAATATATGTATTTGTGTAATATTTATCATATAATTACGAGGTTTATTTCTACTAAAATATTCAAAGCCAACGAAACCGCGTGGATCAACAATCAGCGTTTGGAAAGCCATCGCCGGCAGCACGCAGGCGGCCGGGGCGGGACGGGAGGTGGTCGTATTCCAACTCCTGACCCGTGGCTGCGTGGGACGTCGAAGTTTGCATGGGAAAAAACTATTGAAACATGTTGAACACATGCCTCTAAAATCATGAAATATGGCTGGAGTTTCTTACAGATCAGGAATTGGATTTGGAGGTACCTCATACCTCTTTTAATGAAATACCAAAATACCTATATGGATTTGTCTGCAAATCGAATGCCTGATTTTTTCTTTTTTTATGGGGTAAATGTGCAAAATTCAGATACAATCATTCCAATAAGATATCCCATAACATAACATATTCCCAATACCCTCCGGGAATCAAACATGGCAATGGAAAATCCACCCTTTTTAGACGAGTTTTCCATAAAACCTGCAGTTATTTATAGTGGCTAATGCCTTACCATGCATTACCACATTTATTACCAGAGGGTATATCCGCGCTATATATTCGCAATATATGATCGGATAAAACCACTCTTACATATTCCCACTATGTATATATATATAATAGATTCTACAGGTGGTTGGCTATATATCGCAAAAAACTATATACTAACATATCCCCAACAATAAACACACATGCATTCCATATTAACAATAATAAATAGTAATAAATAATACTAATAAGTAAAAATAATAAACAACAGTAATAAATACTAATAATAAATAAAAAATAGTAATACTAGTAATATGTCACATGAAACATAATATATATATAGAATTAATTACATATATTGCCCACAAAACCATCCCAATATGAAAAACAACATGGCATTTCTCCAGCCGCAGCCACATCTAGGCGGGACTTTTCGGCCCTCGCCTGGGCGGCCATAAGCTCCGTAGAATCCAGCCTCCGCACCCGGCCGTGGATCCCAACCTTTCAACATTGCCCATGGCTATGGAAAATTGAATATGAAATCTTGACCCATTTATAGCTGATTTACCTTTTAGAGTGATGTTTTTTTCTATACTTGTGTTAAATTGCCACATGTAAATGTGCTTGTCTTCCCTCCAAGAAGTATAGAAATAGACTCACACCCGAAAAAGAAAGACATTGTCTTCACTTTTGGATTGGAAGCAGAGAAAATCAACGGTCCGTTTCTCTCAGAGTATTGCTTACGTCATCCTCTCAACCAGAATATCAAGCAGCAATATAGCATTGTCACTCCAGGATACAACCCAACCCTTTCACAAAAGCGAGCGCATGGTCAAATGCGGGTTGCATTATGGGCTTACTAGGCTACAACTATCTATATAATTATAGATCAGCATGTTCACTACAGGACGATCAAATATCATCAGCTATCTATAGACTATAGATCGTTTTACGTCAGTATAGATCATTACAGGTTTTTTTCACTATAATCAGATTTAAATTTATTTAAATCACCATAGATCACCATCCACCAGTTTCTAATTTTTCACTGCAAACTTCCCTGGTCAGCTTACCAGAGGCCAACCTATCCACTGACCGCACTGACGGCGCATCCTCTTTTTTTCTCAGCCATGGTAACGGCTCCTCGGGCTCGAGACAGCCTGTCACCGGCGCCAACCGTGGGATGTCTCTTAGGTTCTTTCCCCAATTCGATGCCAGTCACCATTTCAATGTATTCAAGGTGAACCTCAATCCCAAGCAACGTGGTAAACCCAATAATATACCTATGATTTGGGGTATTTACCCCCCCATTTATCTGGGTAAATTATTATATTTCACTAACCTGAATTAAGGCCATTTGGGGATGATTCCCCGAATCCTAACCATGATTCCAGTGAGGTCGCGACGTGAGGTCGTGATGAAATTTACCCAGATTTATGGCACTTTTAGGGACGATATGTTATTGGGTTAACCACAATGATGTGAAATCGATGGAAATCTTGCAAGGTGGTGCCCCATAGTTAGCTAAGTTGGTTTATAACTCCCATAACTATGGTTTATGGCAGATATAACTATAGTTAATGGGGTTTATAAACCAACTTATAACTGGGGGGCACCATCCTGTGGGTGTAGAACCCGTCTTTTTTTTGCACAAAGGTGGGGGGATAACCACGGATAACCCATCGCCAGAGTAGAGTGATCCGGTGATCCTGACAAATCCCATTCAACCAAACATAGATGTGAAATCAATACTGGTTGGTTAATATATGGTTAATATACTTTAATATATGGTAAATATATATGGTAAAAAGACTGTTAATATATGGTTAATGATAGTTAATAATAATCTGGTTGGTGGTATACCTACCCCTCTGAAAAATATGAAAGTCACTTGATTATTCCCAATATATGGAAAGTTCCAAACCACCAACCAGAATAATGCCAAGTTAGGATTAATAATCCCCGCGGTATTAATCAACCCCCTCTGCCCCCAAAAAAAAATGTAATTTAAAAAAAGGTGGTCCCCCAGGATTAATAAACCCCCCCGATTAAAAAACCACCAGTGCTGAAATCAATTTTTTATCCAACAATTTTTATTTCCAATTCTATTTATTTCCAATTTGTTTTTACATTTTTTTTAATCATAATTGTTATACTTAAGGTTTAAGTTGATCATTGAAAAATTCAAAAATGACTATTCCCCAAATGATCGATTTCTAATTAAAATCTTTATAAAAATCATCAGTTTGGATAGCTCCCAAAGGGTACCCCCCATAAGCCCATGTCCCCCATTAATAATAACAATGGTTTGCCCCCGATTAATCAACCACCTTTCTGATCCATGAGATTTTAACAAATCCAATAGAATTCTATTAAGATCTAATTGACGTAAGCCATATCCAATTTTTTATGGTTCAGAGTTGCTTACTATTAAGGGGTGGTCAAGAAACTAGCCAGAAGGTACCCCCGGGGGGGGGTTGATTAATCCGATGTTGACCATTAGCAACAATCTGGGGACATCACCAAAAAAATAGGGGCATGTACTATGTACATCTATGTACCCCATTTGCAGATGAAACCCTTCTTTCGCAGGGCTGGCAAACATTGGCAAACCATTTCCCCAGCACCGCGCGACATGGCGAAGTTTCGGTCATCTGCCAAATAACATAACAAAATATGACAAAAGATGATAAAACATGATAATTTACTATATTCATATGCTCTGCTTTCATCTATATCTGTTGTACTCCTCTCTATGTAATTACTTTTTTTATATACTTATACAATTTACAATTGCATACATCCACATATCTAGTACATTTATGTATACACACACATATACATTCCTTTATTGACCAGGGGTTGGTAAATGTCTTGTTTTGGGGATTGTGAACATACCATTATAAAAAATAAAAATAAATAATAATACGGTACCGTAATAATAATAAATAATGATGATAATAGTAATAAATAACAATAATAAGTAATAATAATAAACAAACAACGCAAATCACCTTGTTAGCTGTGTGATGTGAACAATTAGGACATTTACCAGCCCCTTATTGATTCAAATAAACAACAACAAAAACAACAAACATGGTAACCATACTCACAAAAAATAAATATCTAATATGTAAATTAACTATATTACTATATACACCCCGTTGAGCCCCGTTGCCAGCGCACCTCCGTCCTCTTTGGAAACCGGAATCCTATGAGGATGAGATTCTTGGGGTCCCATCAGGGCATGGTTTTCTTTTAACCTTTGGAAAAGGGTACCCTCTGGTAAACTAACATAGCTATTGAAAATTGCAATTTATAGTGGATTTTCCCATTAAAAAAGGTGATGTTCCATAGTTACGTTAGTTTATCAGAGATTAACACAATGCTGACCAGTTCATATGGCTTTGAAGTGTTGTGTATGATGTTGTATGTTTGGGGTGGGACAATTGTTTTGCGGCCCTTGCTAGGGCCATAGGTTTTCTTTATGTTTCTTGAATCGGTCTTGAACCATCTATCCTATCCCGTGTTCCTGGTTCATGGATAGGTACACGTGTTGCTGATATTTAAAGAACAACATAAACATGGTTACTATCCCAATACACTAACATGGGTTACAATCATCCCTACAATTCATAAACGAGCTAGTATAACCCACCTAAACAACCAGTCGGGTATTTTCAATCGCTCCAAACATGTTCCCATGTCACGCGATCCTGTTGAGCTCACAAGCGATCTCGTAGTAGTAGCCATACCTTTGGTGTAGAAAAAACTGGTTGAATCGACGAAACAAAATCTGGAAGTAATCATCGATCCTGCTCTGTAGCCACGATCAACCAAATATTTACGATCAACCATCACCCAGTGGTAAAAAAAGTCGATCTTTACTATCTTTACATATCTTTACCGGTTGATGACAGGGCATCTGGTTTACTAAGACTTGGATGATTATGGGCTATCCGGCTATTCTAGGACACCTCCATTTTTCCGAACCTCGGCAAACTAACACTGTGGGATCATTACACCCGATTCTCAATCACTCCCATGATGTCACTGGCAGATACCAGAGAAAAAACACCATGTCATGAGACATGATTTGAATAAAAGGTGCATTTGTATACAATGTATACAATATCAGGTGACTTGTAAACTATTTGGACTTTAGAGTCTTTAGAGGGGTTTGCCGTAATTTTCAGACACACCCACATGTCAAACCTGAAAGATAGGGTCCATGTGAACACCATGAAACCTATGCTGGTGGTATACCCCAATTTCAGAGACATCCATATCATATCAAACTGACTCTATCCTACTATGTATATATATATATGTATATATATATATATATCTGGTTGGTGGTTTCAATCCCTCTGAAAAATATGAAAGTCAGTTGGGATTATTATTCCCAATATAATATGGAAACATGTTCGAAACCACCAAACATATATATATATATATATGTATTATATATATATATTATATTATCATATAAATTATGTATATATTATTATTATATTATTATATATAGTCCCGTTTTATCTCCATATATCTCCATAATGTGGATGGTGTATATAGTCTTCTGATATCAAGCTTTTTCCATATCACATGTTCATAGAGATATGAGGATATAATATTTGGAGGATATGAGGATAATTTGGAGATATTCACTTATATATGAGGATAATGAGGATATGAGGATATAATGAGGTTACAAATGTCCATCATATCCTCATGATCTTCCCATTAATTGCAATTGAAGCCCCATTAAATCCCTATTGAACATAGTTTTACTTCGATCATTTCATCTACAAATCACTTACAATGATGTGTCCGCATGATATCCCCATAACCCTCCGGTAAACGTTTACAGTTTGCGAAATTGAAAATTGCCCATCGAAACAGTTGAAAAAAATCTGATCTAATAATGATGGTGATGGGAACCCTAGCTATGTTAGCTTACCGCATGCCTCAAACGCCCATTGTCATCCTATTACCCATTGGATCCATGTATGGTATATATGCTAACATTTGGGGTATATTGATAGGTTATAATCCTATGTTTTTTAATTTGAGAGTATTCTTCTTACCTGGCAATCAAACATGGCAGTGGAAACTCCCCTATAAACAGAGGTTTCGTTCGCTGGGAACATCATCCAATGGTAGATTTTGAATTGCCATGAAGCTGATTACTGGAGAGCGTCCGATAACAAAAAAACCATAAATTATCATTCTATTGTAATTATCCTATGAGTCTTAATATGAACTAATTAGTATTGTTATATTATTGCTATGGTCCAATAATAATATATTGAAACCCAACCCTTTGAAAAAATATGAGTTCGTCAGTTGGGATGATTATGTATTCCCAATATTAATGGAAAGTCATGATCCATTCATGTTCCAATCCACCAATCAGTATATATCTCATTAACCACCATTAACCACCATTAACCACCATTAACCACCATTAACCACCATTAACCACCATTAACCACCATGAAAACCACTATTAAAAGCCCATGTTCCAACCACATCCCATCATTTTGGTTCGAGGAACAAGGTCCGCACCACCTTTGGACCTTGGGCTTTCAGCCACATCGATAGCTTGGGCATTTTTTGGAATTTGTCCGAATGGATCCCGAACATTCCGAATGTTTGCTGGGCACAAAATGATCCATGATACAGTAAGGTTTTGCTAAGCCTGATAAAAATAACTCCCAACCAACCATTATCCCAACCAAGATAACCAAGTGTCCCCAGTTGTGTCATGGTCATTTCCAAAACCATGCTCACATGGAGTCATCGTTGTGTTACCCTAGAATTTTCAGACAAACCCACATTCGTTGAATTTAGAGTCGAACCGTAGAAATATATTACAACTCTTGCAAAATATAGGAAGTTACAAGTGAGCCCCTTATTTACTAAGCGTCAATCTCAACATCAGGAATGTTCCTACTACTGTTTCTCTAATTTCTGTAGCCACCTATCTCTGGAACCTCTGAGACCGCCAGGTGCGTTTCTCATCGAAGTTCCGCTAGCCAGTCTGGCTAGCGGTCATTGGACCATCTTTTACCTCAACTTTTGATTTTGCCATACATTTGAATACAAATCAAGTTCCACTAGCTTGGGACGGTTGTTGGTTATGTTGACTGCACAAACTTTGTTTTCCCTCTGGTAATTTAACATAGCTGTGGACAATGGCCATTTATAGCTGATTTACCCATTAAAAATGGTGGTTTTCCATGGTTATGTAAACATTTACCAGAGGGTAAATTATGTCAAAACTTGCTGTGGAACTCCAACTTTTTTGCAACTAATTTCATGGCCTCGTCCTGAAACTCCATCGACCAACTTGGTTCAGATTTTCCCATGGGGTTTCCCCCTCTGGTAAACCTACAAATAACTATGGAAAGATCCACCATTTTTAATGGGAAAACTCACTATTTCTATGGCCATGTTCAATAGCTATGTAACAAATTACCAGAGGGTAACCAATTTGCACCAATGTGCGATGTCAAAGAAAATGGAGTGACTTCAGTTTGTTCGGAATGGTAAACCTCCGACTAAGATAAACCATCGAATCATATGATTTGAAACACCCCCGTACACGTATATATCCAATGTGTTTTATTTGTCGTTCTTGCATTGCCTTGCATTCTGTTAGTTTCCGTTTCTTAACCACATCTTTCAATGATCCCAGTCGTATGATTGACAACAAATATTTGAATCCCCTGGGCCCCCAGCCAGTTCAATATATCATGATTGTTGCTAGATTGCATTACTGTTCTTAACATCCCATTATATCCAATGATATCCCATTGCATTGGGCAAAACTTGGTACGTTATTATGAAATGCATCATCATATGCAATATACGTATATATATATATATATATAACCAGCTTAAATGATATCACTGTCATTGTTGTCAATGCCTAAGTTATATCCACTTTTACCCATGGTAATTATATCATTGATCCTGGCCATTTTATGATGGCCATAATGTCCCATGATCGATGTCAGTTTTGTTTTTGTTCCCATCAATACTGACATCGATAAAAACATGATAAAAAGTAGTAATGCCCTTTTATTATAAACCATTCATATGCCCCTTCAATTCATGATGCCCTTTTATTGTTCAAACGTATCAAACGTATCCCACTGTTTCCCATATGATCGTCCCACTGTTTCCCATATGATCGTATGAAAAATAATCGATTCTCAATCCATGGCCCTTGCATTATACTATTATAATGCATCTATTACATGAATAAATCTATTAATATATATATATATATTATCAATAACAATATGTAACACTTATAATTATGAATAATTATGAATATGATTAACTCGTTCCAATCCATGATAGAATATTCATATATAATCCCACATATATAATATCCATCCCATCAATCATGCCCTTGCATTTCCAAGGCACTGGTATTGGATAAGACTCCGTTAAAGGCCAACACAAACTTCCCCGGCACCCAAGCATCGTGCAGGGACCTGAAGCTTAAAAACCGCTGGCTTCTCAGCTGGATGGCGGTGAAGCAGGATTGATTAACCAACAATCTTCGTTGGATTGACATGGATTTGCTTAAGGAACCACCAAAAAATAGAACATATTCCCTATAAATTCCCCAAGTAGTGGATTTCCCATGGAGAAAATAAAAAACATCTTCAGCAAATCCAAGTTGATTAAATCTCATTGATTCAATGTTTGGAGGTACTACCATACGTTGGACACCTTAAAACTCACCCAGTCACCTGGCGCCTAGGTTTAACCTAGTCCTTTGTGATAACGGACAAAATGTAAACCTATCCTGGATGAAAGCAAAAAAGGTCATGTTGTTTTTTAAACCTGAAAAAATAGTTCCTGGCGCCACGTTGCATATTTAGATGTGCATCCCAGCTATGAGAAAAATGCTGCGTATCTTTGTATAAAACCCATATCCCATAGGATCCATGGTGCTGCTATATATGGTAACATGGATCCCATCAATATACCCCCAATATTAGCATATATATACCATACATGGATCCTATGGGATTGTATATATCCCATGTATATATATATATATCCCACTAATCTAACTAGATCTAACTAGGAAATTCCAACTACACATGGCTTCAAATCTGCGACCCATCTAATAACTGTTACTAACTAGACTACACCAAGTACTGGACACTTTTTTTTGTCGACTTCCAAGTTGCAGGGACTCTAGGATGGCAATTGCCAGCCCAAATGCGTGAACTTTAGGACTTAGGTGTTCCAACTGTAGAAACCTGCAGTAGTGCATGAAATTTCCAATAAAACCTGCAGTATACTGTTATAACTCACAACATCTTATAACATAGATGTGGAAAATGCGTTGGTTTCACTGGTTTCCGCCAAGAAAAAAATAAATTCATGATCAATATGTCTCCATCTCAGAATCGGACAACCAGTGAACATTTGGACAACCTTCTGATCGATGGTTGTGGTTAAATATCAGCCGTATTGCATCCCCAAATCTACTTGAAAGTAATTTCTTGGCTGTGTAAACTGTTCGAAGAAAATGATGTGCGATTACAATTTACAATGTCAGTTTTGTTGATTTTGAAACAATTTCTGGCCCTAACGATGGTTTTTTTTCACTTGGTTTATCGAAGATTTATCAAATCCGAAGAGCTGGTTGTTTCACAATATGGGGGTACGGGAAACCATGCGATTCAACATTGAACACTTGGGTGATCAACCATAAAATTGTGGTACTCAACCCTCAGAAAAAATGACTGGTTGGTGGTTGACCTACCCATCTGAAAAATATGAAAGTCAATGGGAAGGATGACATCCCATATATGATGGAAAATAAACAATGTTTGAAACCACCAACCAGAAATGACTTATTTCAGAATATTTCAATAGCAACAACCATCAATTAAAGCAGGTTTTCAACCATGTTTTAGCCAACAGAAAACCAATCTGGTTTCGCCATCAGAACATGGATTTCACTATGCATCATGTCGTCCAAAAACCATCAAGAACCATGGGTTTTTACATGTTCAATGGGAATTTCAGGAACCTAAAATGGAGGTACTGTACCATTTTTGAGGCCATATTTTGTGGGGATATTCCCTTACATAGGCCTTATATATGGTAGGTACCTCCAATTTAGGTTCCTAAAATGGCCATTGACATGTGTTTACCACGCATTTCGGGGTTTTCCCGTCGATTTTCGTGGTAGCCATATATGTCCACCTGCCGAGTGGCTGCGCGGTCGCTGGATGGTAGGAGTTCAGTTCAAACTGCGGCACGATGCGCACCTGGGAGAGATGTATCCCCCATATGGATTTACTCCACAAAATAAATGAAGCATATGGGTATGATGTGTATTAAAGGGGATATAAAATATAGTATGACAAACAACGGGAATCAATGGGATATGTATGCATATATATATATATATATTTACAAAATATAATCTAATTATATATATATACCAGTAGTACCCGCACGAGGCGGGGCGGAAGTTGCCTTAGGGATATATGTAAAAGACCTTTCTCATCTATAGAACTTGCATGCGCTGTGCGCCAGCCAAGCCCGTGCGTGCGTGCACTCTGCGAAAGTGGTGTCCTGCTTCACATGTCACTTGTGAAGCTCCACTTCGCACTTCACACTTCTCACTGCACTCTTCACACTCCACACTTCATCTCATCTGAGCTATTCTCACCTTATCCCAGCTCATCTCTTCTCATATGTCATCTAAGCTTTCATGAATCACTTCCCAGTACTACTACTACTACTTGCCGATGTTAATTAGGAGTGAAGGAGTGGGTTTGAAGCTGCAAAATCGAAGGGAAAAAGGAAAAACAAGAAACAAAGAACAAACATGCATTTTGTTTCCGACTATGTTGTCTAAAATTGTATGTTTGGGAGGTGTGGGCAGGGCGGTCAATAAATTCAGGGACTAGTGCTTGCCACATGTGTGCACATGATCAGACATGTTATAACTTCTTAGAAGATTTTTTGTGAGTGGCTGCACCCTCACAATCACAGTTTTGAAGCTATGTAAAACCATTGGTTTGGCATCCCATGTCTTGTTGTGACACAGACAGAAATGAAGCACGCTATCTGTCTGTGCTTTTTTACAAGGAATACTGTGATATTACGACACGTTTTGCATAGTTGTAATTTAACAAATTTTGAACCAAAACTGTGGAAATACCACACCTTTTGCACAATTTCGAAGCCAAAACTGTGGTATTACCACGCTTTTTACAGAGTTTTAAAGCCAAAGCTGTGGTATCTCCACATTCTTTACATTTTCCACACAGTTTGAAGCCAAAACTGTGATATGTCTTCATGTCTTGCATTATTACCACACGTTTTGCGCAGTCTGAAACCTAAAACTGTGATATGACCACATGTTTTGCATAGTTTTCGAGGCAAAACTGTGATATTGCCACCAGTTTTTCATAGTTTGGAAATCAAACCTATGATGTTTCTGCATCTTTTGCGTAGTTTTGGAAGCAAAATTGCGAAATTACCACATGTTTTGACATTTTTCTTCAATTTTACATAGGGTGGACCACCATTTTATCATGAATATGCTGTTTTTCCTTCAATTCTTACACATTTTTGACCCCAATTTACCGACCACCCCTTCGGTAAATTGGAAATTTGCTGTGGTAAGTTGGCTTTTGGGCAACCATTTACATCTCAAATATGGCACAAGACACGCGGAAAAGAAAAAAACATGGCTGTCATCCCAGTGCTGCACCAACCAAAGGCAAAAGGCCTGGCTGTACCCGCAAGAAAGTGAGCACAAGAAATGTGCACCACGTGCGAAATCCAAGGCTCCAGGACGCGGCTGCACCCGTTCAAAGCCATGGAACAAAGGTCTGCACCAAACCAAGACATGCAAGCAACATGTGTTCATACCGAGAGATCAGATCGCATTGTTTCTAGCAGTTGCATTGTATTGGGCAGGTCCCAAATACGCTTGTGTCCTGTGGTTAACTTTGGTGACCAGCAGACGTATCAGCGAGACACTGTTGCTGCGCGGAACAGACATATGAGTGCAAGGTGGAGAAGAGCACGACGCAGGACACATCTTGTTCCAGCGGCGGCCGCAGGATGACAGTCTTGGAGGCTCAGGCAAACTGGGCGCAGAAAAAGTGGTAGCAAGACTCTCAAGGGATGCCATTGCTGGGATCCAACAATTGTGTTCTGATGGTTTGGAGCATGAGCTGCGTCCAATACTAGAACCCTTCAAGGTGGCTGTACCCCTTATTTTCCAAATGAAACCGTTGAACAAAGATCGTTTTCAACTTGACACAGATTCAGAGAACTTTGTTTTTGCCACCGCGTTCAAGAAACAGGGATGCAGGCCAAATATGTCAAGGCAAAGTGTTTCGGAAGCTCTCAAGGTGATCAGGAAAGTGATGTTTCAAAATACTGGCAACCGCCGGTACAACCCCACAAGTAAATTTCAAGGCAGTAGGGTTACAGTGCAGGGAGCTACCCGGCACACGAGCGCTAGCCTCCTGCTTTCGAACAAACATTCTGATGAGAAAGGGCCTTCCGAACATGTGATTTTAGAAATTCAACGACGCTCCGATGCAACAGTGTTCTGGAAACATTGTTACTACGCTGGAGAAGAACAAGTGGAAGCTGCTTTAGAATATGGCGCTGCGCCAAGTTTGTTTACAAAAGGCCTTCCAGAGGCGCTTCCAACTGAAGCAGCAGTGCCTAAGAATTGGTTCGCAAGGATTGCTTAGTTTTACATGAAGAAGGCCTGCCACGTTCTCCAAAATGCAGGCTTTGGGTTGCTCTTTGATAATCCATTGCGAACCGTACAAAGTAACTACTCCTCTTGGATCAAGGCCTCCACGTTTTCGACCCAACGCGCTGAAGGATGGACAAGGGTAACCAGCAACGTATAAATCTATGTTGCGAGGTTTGGAGGTAGAGCCACCCAAAACCAAACTCCGTTCAGTCATGTCCATCTCCAAAGTTCCAACTTCGTGCTTTAACTGTGCACAGATACATCGATACAATTTTTGCTTGTCTTCGTCAGTTTCAACTGACCAGCACACACTTTGCAATTTTGGCAGCAAACCTAACAAGGCCAGAGCAATGATTTCCGAACCCAGACCTGTGCAATCACTGGCCACTCTGATGGACCCAGTGTCCATTGTTTTTTCACAAGCTCAGCGGCATCAGCCAAAGAGCGCACTTGACCCATCATTTTTTCAAAAGTTTCCTTGGTGATAACTGGTTTCTTTCTTGGCTTGCCTGGTGGACCTTTATCTTTTTGCACATTAGAGCTTTTGATTTTTCTTCTTGTCAAGGACTTCATCCAGCACGACTCCACCTCATGCCATGGCTTCCTAACTCACCGTACTTTGATTGCAGGTCAATAATATGTGTTGTGTCTCACAATACTTACGACTATCAGGAAAGAATCTGCTGCTGTTTCTATTAGCTTTTCCACATCTTGCCCGAGACCCCGGCTTGAACCTGACAGGCCAGCTCAAAGGCTGAGCTGCGGCAGCGGCGTGCGTGTAAGGACCCCGGGCAAACCCGGGGTCCTTACACGCACCCTGGCTGGTCTGGCTGTGTGTATAAGGACCCCGGGCACGCAGCGTTGAATGCACCCCGGCGTCCTTACACGCGCACGTTGTAGCGGCGCCGGGGTCCTTACACGCGCCCTGGCTGGTCTGGCTGTGTGTAAGGACCCCGGGTTCCCCCGGGGTCCTTACACACAGCCCGCTAACGCAACCCCCGGGGTCCTTACGCGCAATCTGGCTGGTCTGGCTGTGCGTAAGCAACTTTAACGTCGCCCACTCCTAATTAACGTCGCCCACTCCTAATTAACGTCGCCCCAATTAACGTCGCATACTCCTGTTCTACTACCAGTTAGGAGGCTTGCAGGCCAACCAAAGAAACAGTCATGCTTGAGCACTTTGAGTTGGCATGACAAGCACAGCGCGCTGACTACTTTTTTCCCCAAGTACTGTAACCGTCCCCAAGGCCGAAGGTTTCTGGTCATGGAAATGATGGTGCTGACGTCTTTGGACAACACACAATTCATGAAAGCCCCACAACAAGAATGAGGTATAAGCCATCATTCCTCACACAACCTGCTTCTCATCATTGTAAAACTAAGCACTCCTTGCGCACTGCTTCTCATCTCGGTGACTAGACAACAACATGTCCAAGAATTCTCTGTCAGTTTTGACAGTTCGTCCCTTTTTTTAAAGTGTTCTTCTCTGATTCCAGACGCAGCACCATGTGCGCCGATGTCAATGCAGAAGTTTCCCATGAGTTTGCGCCTCTGTTGCAGTGATCTTGTAAAAAAATGTGCACGTTGCTTTTCTTCTCACACATCTCTGGAGAGAAGTGTATTTTTTCATCCTTTTCTTGACAGCAGGCTTGCAAAATCCAATGGAAAAAACAGCCGACTCAGCTTCGAGCAAGCCTTCGTTCATGACCACACCTCCTTTCAGAACAGCATGCCTTGCGCACTCCTCGCGCACCAAGTCTTAGGCACTGCTGCTTCAGTTGGAAGCGCCTCTGGAAGGCCTTTTGTAAACAAACTTGGCGCAGCGCCATATTCTAAAGCAGCTTCCACTTGTTCTTCTTCAGCGTGGCAATAATGTTTCCAGAACACTCTTGCATCGGAGCGTCGTTGAATTTCTAAAATCACATGTTCGGAATGCCCTTTCTCATCAGAATGTTTGTTCAAAAGCAGGAGGCTAGATGAGGCTAGCGCTCGTGTGCCGGGTAGCTCCGTGCACTGTAACCCTACTGCCTTGAAATTTACTTGTGGGGTTGTACCGGCGGTTGCCAGTAATTTGAAACATCACTTTCCTGATCACCTTGAGAGCTTCCGAAACACTTTGCCTTGACATATTTGGCCTGCATCCCTGTTTCTTGGACGCGGTGGCAAAAACAAAGTTCTCTGAATCTGTGTCAAGTTGAAAACGATCTTTGTTCAACGGTTTCATTTGGAAAATAAGGGGTACAGCCACCTTGAAGGGTTCTAGTATTGGACGCAGCTCATGCTCCAAACCATCAGAACACAATTGTTGGATCCCAGCAATGGCATCCCTTGAGAGTCTTGCTACCACTTTTTCTGCGCCCAGTTTGCCTGAGCCTCCAAGACTGTCATCCTGCGGCCGCCGCTGGAACAAGATGTGTCCTGCGTCGTGCTCTTCTCCACCTTGCACTCGTATGTCTGTTCCGCGCAGCAACAGTGTCTCGCTGATACGTCTGCTGGTCACCAAAGTTAACCACAGGACACACGCGTATTTGGGAC